TTTGTATTAGAGATAGACGCCTCTCTAAAAGGTTTAGCAGCTTACTTGGCCCAGGATAATGAGGAAGGGGTGAGGCACCCAGTCGCATTTGCAAGTCGTGGTTTAAGGGGGGCAGAATCTAGGTACCCAGACTTCAGTTCTTTCAAGTTGGAACTTCTTGCCCTGAAATGTGCTGTGGTAGATAAATTTCGAGATTATCTTCTTGGGGTACCTTTTGCAGTACTTACTGACAATAACCCCCTCTCCTACCTACAGAGAGCCAAGTAAGGCGCATGTGAAACACGTTGGATAGCACAGCTGGCAGCTTTCACCTTTGATGTGAAATATAGGTCAGGGGCTAGTAACCGCTGCGCTGACGCTCTAAGTCGCTACCCAGGTCATGCCTCAACAGGAGAAGTTGAGGAAATGTTGCAGTGCAAGGTTCACTCTACTAAGGTTCCACTGCAACGAGTCAGTGTGCATAAGGTATCAACTACTCAAGGGGCAGAGTCAGGGCCGTCAAAAGTAACTGGTAAATTAGGTATCTTTCCATCATGGACACCAGAGCAACTGTCTGCCTTGCAAAGGGCTGACCCAGTAGTACAGTGCATCTGGGAGCGATGGGATCAAGGTTGGAAGCCAGGTTTAGATTTTCATGCTGAGCATAGGGAGCCAGCTGAGTTGAAGTTATGGTTCTGGCAGTGGCCCGGATTTCATGTGAAGGACGGTGTTTTGCATCGTCATGTCATTGACCCATTACATGGTGAAATAGCTCAGGTACTGATGCCAAAGTGTCTACAACAGAGGGTATTAGAATGTTGTAATGATGGGTGGGGGCATCAAGGGGTTTTCAAAACTTGTTCCCTCCTGAGGAGACGCGTGTTTTGGCCCAGAATGGCGGCTGCAGTGCGCAGGCATATTGGTCATTGCAAACAATGCGTCATTGCTAAGGCTTCCGAGTCAAGCAATGTGCCGATGAGACATCTATTAGCTTTCTGCCCACTTGAATTGTTGGCCATTGATTTTGTTAAGGTGGACAGAGGTTCAGGGGGGTATGAGGATGTCCTCATTGTGACAAATGTGCATACAAAGTTTGTCCAGGCCTATCCATGTCGGGACCAGCATGCTGTAACCGTTGCTAGAGTTTTGAGGGATCAGTGGTTTTCCAAATTTGGAATACCCTGTCGGTTGCAAAGCGACCAAGGAAGAAATTTCGAAGGGGATGTTGTGAAAGAACTGTGCACGTTGTATGGTATGAAAAAGACCAGAACAACTCCATACCGGCCAGAGGGAAATGGTTAGGCCGAGCACTTTAACAGGACCCTGTTTGGACTTATAAAGTCCATGGATGAAAGGGATAGACGGAAATGGCCTGATCTTTTGCAACATCTGGTGTTTGTGTACAGTGCTACTCCACATTGTACCACTGGAGTAGCACCCTATCTGCTTATGTTTGGCAGGGAACCGGTGATCCCTCTCGACCAGATGTTAGGTAGAGCTGATAATGACCGGGACCAGGATTTTGTTAGGGAGCAGGGTTCATTGCTAACTAGGGCTAACGACTTAGTTAAAGAGAGGGTGGCAAAAGTGTG